ACACTATTATATTATCATATAAATAAATAATATCATCACATCATTGTACAGCAATGCATATTTTCAGTCTACAATGCTTACTGAGAAAAAAAGCAACATTTATTTGGTAAATTTGGTAATTTAATGTATTTTTAACATGTTGCAACCATTCCTGTGCCATCTGACCCCAACTTTATCATATCTGATCATGTTTAAATGGTATGAGTAATTAGTAGGGATTCACGACATTGGATTTTTTGCTGATATCCCATATGCCAATAGGCCTATAACAACTCATTTGGCCAATAACCAATACCGATAGATCCATATATTATGGAAAATTATGCAACTTTCTTCCCAGAATCCTCTGACTGAATATACCTCTTTATCTGTGCACTTGCACCCTGGTGTATTTATTTATATTTTTATATGTATTTTAATTTATTTAGGCCTACTTATGTAATAGCCTTGGTCAACGGCCTCTCATCATCACTTACAAGCATGCCATCTTTCCTGCTTCATTGCTCTGGTGGTAATTAACGCAGTAGGAAGACACTGTGAAAGGGTTACATAGATTTATTTTATCGCCTATTTATCTGTTTTCTTTTTTGTAATTTATATTCTTTATACATTCATGTATATCTTTCGGATATGTTGTTTTGTTACCTGTGCGGTATCTTTTTCTAATGTTTTGTAGGCTACATGTTGACTTTGTCAATTAGAAAGAAAATTGGCGTGTTGGTTGCAACCGTCCCCAGTCTCCCCTATGCTACCTTTAAAAGTCTCCAAAAGTATGGATACTTAAAGGCAGAGAGAGTTTACAGTTTAATTTGGTAGAGTGATGGGCTATTTTTGTCTGCGGAGACACTGTGTCAATAGTATTGGGTCGTCTTTTTCATTAGGAGGTACATTTTTTGGATAAATCATGATTTGGGACAAGAAAGATGAAAAACCTGGGGTCACAACAGCCCATCAGCAACTGTCCCCATAAACAAAATCACCGGGACTGACCGTGAGGAAACACATCTCTCAGTATGTAGGTTTTGGTGTCATATCTTACATGGGCGTTAAGATGCGGGTCTATACGGGGCTGAGGAGGAAGACTAGTCCATTAAGTGTTACGTCACTAATTCCAGAACTGACAGCAAGGATTTATTCAACGTTTGACAAATTCCCCACTCACCTCTCTTGCTATGAGATTTAGGGCATCGTCCTCTGCCGTCGACCTCTCCTTCTTGGTAGATCTTTTCCGTCCTGTGCCCTGAGTCCCCATGTTTTCTCAAATCCACTCACTGACTGTTTGTAAAGTCACACTTGTGGTCCAAAAGCGCACCGAATAATCCAAACAGAGCTGTAGATAACTAAGTTAGTGGCTCTCATGTGAGAGCTAAAATATCAAGTTAAAGGCGCGCAGATAAAACAAACCGTGGCTGGTGGCGTTCACAGCATGGGTCATCGTAATACATCCGTTTTAACACTTCTTCCTGTGTTTTTGGAACAACGCACAAACTCGCGACGGAGTCAAACTGTGTCGGTGAGTGGCAGCATCTGCCCCACGTGCGCCTCTGATGCGTTTACGAGCACATTCAGTCGGAACTGTTCACTGAAGCTTCCCACTGTGCTTTTAAACACTGTCTCTACCAGTATGTCGCTCTATGAAAATAAAACAAACACAGACAATACAAATACACTTAAAATATAGCTAAACTATCATAATTACAATGTGTTCGAATAGTCTCGTGTTTATCTAGCAGCACTGGGACTCCACCACCTGACGGATTCACAGCAACGAACTCGAACCTGTCACACTCAAACTTCAAAGACTGTACTCAGTCAAGCTGCCTTCAGGTAATGTCGGAAAAATGAGCAACAATAGAAACGCTGGTTATTTTGGCAGTTAACCACACAAGTAAAGCTGAAATGTCATGTGGTATAGCTACCCTAATGACCTTAATCAGTACTACTAATACTAATAGGCAATTGAATTACTGATTATACTTTCTCCATAATTCATCTTATATCACTTTTCTTGCATAACTATGATATCCCTGACATCTTTTGGCAATTAAATGAATTAATACTACAGAGGACAATGGGTTTGTGTACTGTTCATGCTTAGGTGATTCGTGTTCAGGGGTAGGGGGGGTGGATGGGCTGTAGAAAATGTCTACCTTTACATGATCAAAAATCTGAGATGAGGTGTATTCAAAGCCAGAGCTTCAAAACAACAAGCTTCATTTCTAAATATTTGTTTTTTTCTAGTCTTAAAATGTTCAGGGATAGTTTAGATTTTTGGCGTGGTTGTATGGGGTACTTATCCACAGATAGTTTATTACATACAGGACATGTTAGTCGTCTGACCTCCAGTTTGGAGAAGCAGGCTGATGGAAGCCAAGCAATCTACTGTTGGGAGGGGGTAAGAAACAACATGTATTTTAGCCAGCTAAAAAAAAGTCCCAACTAAAAATAATAATATAAGTTCAAGTTTACGCTATATTTAGAGTATTTTCACTGCTTTACCTCAATGTTAGACATTAATTTCCAATGGGAAAGTGAAGCTGTATATTGCTCTTTTAAGAGCCAGACTCCATTGAGAAAAACAGGGATTTAACATTGCTGAACACAGCAGCTGCTGGTCTGCGACTGCCTCAGTCACTTAGTCTTTTTGTGTTATTTTGGGTGACTCTGATGTTTAAAAAAGTTTGTTCGGATTCACCAAAGTCACAAAATAACACAAACTGATTAAAGGAGTGGTAGATCAGCAGCTCCTGTTAAATTTGTCTTTTTCTCAATGGAGTCTGGTGGCTTTGATTAGAGTATAGATGGGAAATTGATGTTGTTAATGGCTTCCCTGACAAAATGGGCTGTCTGACAGATAGGTAAAGCAGTGAAAATACTTTAGATATAGTATACACTTAATCTGATATTGATTTTTTATAGGCGGGATTTTGTAGGTGGCCGAAAATGATTTTGTTGTTGACCCCCGTCCACAGAATTACATTGCTTAGCTTCCATGTTCGACTCCAGCCTGCTTCTCCAAACTGGGGGACGCGCTGACTGCCAGCCACTGTAGGTAATACACTGACTATAGAAAAGAACTCCACACAACCCCTCCTCAAAAGTTTGAACTATCCCTTTAACAGTGAAAAAGAAAACCAGTGCATTACAATTAATCAAAGAATGTTTCCACATGTGTTAATTTAAATAAAATCACACTTCAAAAAGAATCCCTATGACACTATTTAGACCTGAATTAAAACATTTGATGTGGGAAATTTGAGCACCTGGAGTTTACGCAGAGCACTTAAATGCAGCATCAACCTCTGGACCTCTGGCATGTTCAAGGGTTGAGTTTCAGCCAGAAACCACAGCTCCTGCATGGGCTATCGCACTCTCTCACACCCCCTCTGCTATTTTTAATGATGATCAGCAGAATCTAAAAACAGTCTTGAGTTTCTTAAAGAGCTAGACAATACCTTAGTTTGAATGGCCTCACTGTAGATCTCATACTGCTGATGTAATGGTCCAGTATAATGTATCTGGGATAGTCAATGGTGAGTTGATAGTGACCTCACTTTTTACTTTTTATATCATGCGGTAACACTACTGTATCATTTGGAACTCCCAAATCATAGAGAAACCTTTTCCCATGATATTTTTAATGTCATATCATATTATTATACTCATGTCAAAGAACTTGGAATTAGGCCTTAGATTCATGTGCATTTTAATCATACTTTATTGTGTAGCCTAATTCTTATTTATTCATAATTTCTGTATGAAGTACTTTGCAGTCTCATAGAAACACAGCTTTTAAGGTTTATCACAGAGCACTTTTTTGCTCTTTATCTGACTGAGGTTGAATTACACATAATGCTTGAAATAATCCTGCCTGTCACGACACTGCCTTATAGACAACACCATTCATTATGATTGAGCATACCAAGACAGATGACTACTAGTTTAACTGTGATATGGGCTCGTTGGGCACAGTTGTCATTATGGATATGTGTATACCATAATGTAGTTTGTATTATTCAATGATGATAGCATTTTGCATTTATGATGCCCACTGGGTAGTTGTAGTTTTCTAAAAATGACTATTCTGAATGCCAGTAACTTATACAGTGCATTAACAAGGCAGAGTTAAAGTTTCTTAGTTAACTGAAGCAGCTGCAGCTTTCCATGACCACTTCCTTATTTCTATGTTTAAAATCATTTAAAGAGATAAGAGCCTCGAGCTTGAGCTTGGCCTGCAGGCTATTCCAGGACCAGGGAACGAAGCAGAACAGAATTGTGACTTTAATAGTCTGTGTTGTTAAATGGCACTTTAAAGTGAAAATCAAAGGACAAATTTAATACAGATATAAGCTTATAAACTGTGGACTTCACAGTTTATGATTTCCAGTAATAAATACATTGACGCCCTCCAGTGTCGATACAGTGTCATGCAAGGAGAAACACAGGAGGAAAACGGGCCCACTGTGGTCTCTGCAGAATCTCTGTGCAGCCATACATACATTAAGATAAGGGATATTTCTGTGTCTTATTTCTAACGACACACAGTAGTTATGTTACTGTGCAACAGATTTAGCTGTACAGTACATGTTGTAAAGGGATATTCACGTTGAAATCCTGCTTAGTGACAGAACAATAATATGAAAATTACTTTTTCTTTACATTGCATATTTGAGGTGTATGAATTCATATGTGCATCAGATAGGAAACTGGGCACAGCTTCTGTTTGTATCTGACATGTAGCAGTTGAAATAAAATAGATGAGAACTGAAACGATAAAAGACCAAAATGTCCCATTCTGTGTTAACACTTAACACTTGTAGTCATCCTGTGTGAGGTCTAATGAGCAAAATAATCAAGAGTGCACGGGAGTTCTAATTTAGATTGTCCTGGAAAGTTTTATGGCTCAGAAGGGGGTGTAAACAAGGAAGTGAAATTATGTTGGCCTTTTACAAGTTGAGACTGGACTTTGGTTTTACTTCTATTTTCTGTAGAACAAGGTGAAGCTGGCGCCGCCTCAGACTCTCACTGCAAAGACGACATATGAATGTTTTTATACAGTTTGGAGCAGCTTTTGCTTCTTAACTGAGAAAAGACTGACTACTGAATCAGGACTTGAGGACGTTTTTGGACTTCTTCTGTCTTGTCCATCTGTATTTTCTCACTTTTTCGGAGTGAAGTGAACTCTGGATGGGGGAAAAGCTCCTGAGTGTTCCAGGAGGAGCCCAGCTCCGCAGAGACACTTTGAGTAGACCAGTGCGGACCCTCAGGGTTAAGATGGTACTTCTGGGAAGCTCTGGTGTGGGAAAGTCCAGCCTGGCAATGCGATTTGGCAAAGATGAGTTCAGGAGTACATCACCTACTGTGGGCTGTGAGTTTGTGTTACTGAGAACTTCAGACATCAGTGGTTACAGAGTAAGATGTATTAATACTGAAAAATCCTTATAAGATAAAGTTTAAACTAGAAGGAATAGTTTGACACTTGAAAAAGCAGTTTTCACTCTCTTGATGAGAGATCTATACCACTCTCATGTCTGTACTGTAAATATGAAGCTACTGTCAGGAGACAGTTATCTTAGCAGCTAGCATGACCTTACTAGCACCTCTAAATTTTACTAATTAACAAAAATGTATCTATTTGATCTGTGTAGAAATCAAAGTATGAAATGCACTTGACTATTTCCTGGCCGGTAGCAATGACTTCACAGAGAAATAACACCCACAACAAAATTCAGTTAGTGAAGATATAATGTTTGAATTTTTCAGTGTGTATGTAAAATTCAGAAATTGGGTATAGAATTTTGATGGATACCTGCACCTGTAGGATTAAACGGTAGTGGATTTGCAGACAGGATTGCTAAAAAAAAAAAGGGGAATGTAAAGCATATATCAGGGCAGAACATACTGAAAAACACAAAAGACAGTTATAGCACAGAGCTACAAATGTAGAAGTGAGGAGGTATCCAGATTAAGGTTAGTCACACCCAGTGGCGTGCGGTAGTTAGGGTGGGCCCCAGTGCACACTATTATGATGAACCCTTGTGCCAAATTTTGGGTTGAAACAACTATTGTATATTTTATAGTATTGTCATATGATCAAATACAGACTTGACGTTGGACAACATGAACATAGATATTACCAATCATCACTGCAAATCTGTAATAATACCAAATGAAATAAGAAATTATTTATTAAATTGATTTTTAAAATTGTTTATTTATAGTTTTCACAGTTACTTTAAAAGAAACATATAATTTTTGTTATAGAATTCTTCGGACTTTTTCACAAAAGAAAAAAAAGAAACTTACGGAGATGGATTTGCCTTCTCAAGTGCATATATAGCAGATAACAGCATTTATATTTGAACGTGAGTTCTTCTTTGAGCACAGGCGTATTTCTGAGGTGGCAAATCACTCGCAAAGCTCAGTCTCTGAAGGAGATAGAGCTGGCCCTCCAACCACTCCTCCTGTTTCCAGTCTCTATGTTAAGCTAGGCTAACGTTAACAAAACTTATTCCCCAAATGCTGAACTTGACTGTTTATTATAGTGTGATAGTAACCTCAGTCAAGGCATCATTTTTTCATGTTATTGATTCATTCTTTTTATCTGGTTGTCAGCAGGATTATGGTGAATCTACTGGCCCAATTTTCATGATGGCGGAAGAGTATAGCATGTGCCAAGGAAGAACCTGTTGCATTTTGAACAGATCCAAATCAGTTATTTTTCCTTTTCATTGATCTTTTTTAAGCCATTCATAGTGTGGACAGGGATTGCCTGCACATGGCTCTCACCTCAGATGTCAAAAGCAAACATGGAGTTCGCTGAGGTGAAATGGCAGCGCATAGCAGTGCAGTGCTAACACAATGGCAACAGTGCTGACATTAATAGGGGTTAGCTCATGTTGACCTGGGGGGACACCAGAGGGTGCCTGTTACACTTCCATTACAACGCTGTCTTGCTACAGGATGATGTTATCAGTGGTACACACGGTGCAAAGTGGCAGTGATAAGCTAGCCAGTGGGCACATGAACAAGAAGGAAGAGAGGAGGGGGAAGGAATCACAAGCATAAATGTGCATGGCCAGCCCGCCCAGCTACCAAAACAAAGAACAAATAAAGCTCATATTACAACACACACAGAGGTAGCGTTACTTCTCTGCTCAGGATGCCATTAAACCAATACATCTTTACATAGCAAATAGTTGTTTGCTGGTATCAATATTGTGAATGTCACATATTGTATCTTTGATTTTGTCATATAGAGCATTTGGCCTTGGTGGGATTTTGTGTCCTCCAAGTGGCCTTGATTTATCAGTTTGGCATGTACAGTAACTGGCACTTACAGTTGCATGCAAAAGTTTGGGCACTCCTTGACAAATACGTTTACTCTAAAGCTAAGTTAGTAAAGGATGACCTGATTTCCAAAAGGCATGAAGTTAACGATGAAACATTTCTTCAATATTTTAAGCAAGATGACTTTAATTTCAATCAACAAAAAAAAATTCAAAATAACAAAAAAGGAAAAAAATCTGAAGCAAAAGTTTGGGCACCTTGCATGGTCATTACTTAGTAGCGCCCCCTTTGGTAGGTATTACAGCTTCTTAATGCATTTTGTGACCAGCTAACAGTCTTTAAGTTCTTGTTTGGAGAATTTTCCCCCATTCTTCCTGCAAAAGGCTTCTAGCTCTGTGAGATTCTTGGGCCGTCTTGCATGCACTGCTCTTTTGAGGTCTATCCACAGATTTGCAGTGATGTTTAGGTCGGGGGACCGTGAGGGCCATGGCAAAACCTTACCTTGCAACTCTTGAGGTAGTCCATTGTGGATTTTAAGGTGTGTTTAGGATCATTGTCCTGTTGTAGACACAGAAGACACAGAAAAGGTTTTACTCTAATGACTCTTCCATGAAGGTCATAATTGTGCAGGTGTCACTGCACAGTAGAACAGTGCACCACACTCCAGAGTCTGACAAATCTTTCTGCAGGTCTTTTGCAATCATATGGGGCTTTTGTTTTGCCTTTCTAGCAATCCTATGAGCAGCTCTCTCAGAAAGTTTTCTTGGTCTTCCAGACTTCAACTTGACCTCCACAGTTACTGTTACCTGCCATTTCTTAATTACATTATGAACAAAGGAAACAGCAACCTGAAAACACTTTGCTATCATCTTATAGTCTTCTCCTGCTTTTGGGGCATCAGTTATTTTAGTTTTTGGATTGCTAGGCAGCTGTTGATTGTTGGGACAAGGTTTCAGGAGTTAGAGTATTTTTATAAAGCTTTGAAATTTACATCACCTGGCCTTTCCTAACAGTGATTGTGAACAAGTCATAGTCCTTATAAGGTAATTAAGGTGTGAGACCCTGGTAAAAGTTGTCTGAGAACTCAAATGTCTTGAGGTGCTTAAACTTTTGCATTGTGCTCCTTCCTTATTTCTCACTCCAAAATTGTACAAAACAAAAATAATACAATAACCTTGCAGAAAATGTTGAAAAGCATGTTTCATTTTTAACTGGACCATCTCTAAAGACTGAAGACTGAAGAAATGAATCCTCTCTGCTGTCATTCTGCTATCTGCCCCCTCAGGTGCCTACCTGACCCAGGTGGTGCCTCTGAGTGATGTCACTCTTCGCTTTGAGATATGGGACACCGCAGGGCAGGAAAAATACCACAGTGTCACCCCACTTTACTACAGAGGAGCCCAAGCTGCACTCTTGGTCTATGATATCAGCAAAAGGGTAAAAGGAACAGACACCTGACACAATGGGAATTACTTTTCTTATCTTGGCTGGTGCTCATGCTGTTGTGTATTCTTGTGTATGATTGTGTCACCATAGGAGACATTCATCAGAGCTCAAGTGTGGCTTAAAGAGCTTGAGAAACAGTACACCCCAGGATCTACTGTCATATGGCTTGTAGGCAACAAGGGAGACTTGGAACAGGATCGACAAATCTCAGTGCAGGTACATACACAGAAAATCACCTTAATCTCAATCAGTCCCTTTTTAACATGCACATTTACTATATATTTCAATCTACCACATGCAATTTCTGCGTTAATTATCTCATCATACAGGAAGGACAGAGTCTGGCTGATGACAGGGGCTTATTCTTTACAGAGACATCAGCTCTGACAGGGGATCAAATCAGCCAGCTGCTGAAAGCTGTAGGTAAGTCACGGTGCTGAAGGAACTGCAGTTCAGAAGTTCAGAATTTTCCCTCTGGAGATCAGTAAAGGCTTATCTTATCTTATGTTTTGACACTTTTATTGCCTGAACTTAACCTCCCATGTTGGCTTTTAGGCTGTGTTTTGCACCAGCATATTTCACCAGTAAGTGGTTTCCAATTGGTCCGGCCATAGGGTCCAGATTTTTCCTTAGTCATTAGTTCAAGGTCCAGACAGTTTAATGTATTCAGCATCGCACTTGCATTTGACCATGTCATTGAGCTAGTTTGCTGTCTCTTTTAAGTAACTGTCAGTTAGTCACTTACTCTACAGCAGAAAACAGTCCTTCAAAATAAGAGCTCTGTGCTGGAAATTCACTGTACTGAAAAATGAAATGTGTTTTTACAGACTTTTCAAACACATTTACATGTCAGTTGTGGTCCATTCAGAATGGACTCGCAACCCACTTTTGGACCGCAACCCACCAGTTGGGAACCACTGTACTAGTTTTTTAGGGCTTCCTAATCTTACTAGAGAAAGAAGAGTGTCTGCCTGGCAGACTAATCTCTGGGAACAAAGGTCCCTCAGCCAAAGAAAGATTCCTTATCTACCACTAGAGAGCAGTAGATACTAACACGGGGACAATTATTCTTCATCTATTATCTACACACAGTTATTGGCAAAATAAAAACTATAAACTATGGTCTCAGACTATGTCTGAGTTGCAAGATTTCTTTTACACTTTAAACTCCAGGCTTCTAAAATGTCTGCACGTTCCTTTGTATTGAATAGTGAGTGTAGTGTCTTAAGTAACAAAGTTCTCATTCAGCCCACAGAGTGTATGAGTGTATTGGAGAGCAGCAGGGAGGTTTGTCAGAGTGGCAGGAGACACCACATGTGGATCTGCATCGCAAAGACACATTCAGTCCTTTTGCATTCTGCTGTAAAGTTGGACCCTAAACTTTGTCTCTGCCATATTACTGTCTGTTCTGTCTCTCTGCCTGTCTTCACCATTTTAAAGCTGCACTAGGTAACATGTGGGTATAAGTACATCAAAACATCAATAAAAGGCTTGTAGATTCTGAATGTGTGGATTCTTCTGACCAATGCACAACACTGCATTTATCCTGCAATTTGCATTGTGGTGATTAACCAAGGAACACACTTTCTCAGGTGTTTTACTTCACATTCAATAAGTAATAAAGGCTAAAAGCTACTTGATATTATTCAGTTTAAGGCCCCGATTACACAGAAAGCATTTCAGCAGCTGGAAACGGCTTGTTGTCATTGTTTTTAGTTATTTTTGTGTTGCTACATGTCTCGCATTTCTGCACTCTAAGCACCTGGCATTTTTGCCAGAGTGGTCTGAACCCCTTGAGTTTAAAAAATTTCAACTCAGTGCAGACAAGCACTCTCAATTATCCCTTTTTCATCATCTTTTTTCTCATTGTCCAATTGGATGATGTGAGAGGCGGGCCTTCTGTGGTTTTCATGACACCAAGTTTATAGTTGGTAAACAATGGAGGAGAAACTGGTGGTAGCGGTTGCTTGATACCCTGAGCTATAAAACTGCCCGAGTCATCCTAAAATATGCCTGGAAACCGCCACCATAGAGGAGATGCTCCGGTTGTACTCCCCATTATCCACCCTCTTTTTTAGGGTCTCATGTAACCACACAGATCTCTGTTTCCCTGTGCCTAACAAGCTATTTGCTGACAGCCTCTCACCTTCAACCAGAGCTAGAGCAAGTACCTGCTGCCTGACCATTTTAGTAACTAGCTACTACTTACTGTGAAATTTAACAAAAAAGGATTGTTCACACAGGAAGGTAAGGATGTGATGGGGTGGTTGCCTGGCAACAGTAAAAAGACGCAGCAAGCGGGTTGCATTTGACAACCTGCTAAACACTTCATGTGTGAACGGGGCCTAAGTCCTTGTCATTGGTATTACAGTTGTGTGCAGCAGGGATCTATCAACAACAGTTCTATTTGCTGCAGCAATTTTCCTCAGTGGGTTTAAGATCAACCCCCTCAGTCTCTGCCTATGCCAGATGTTGAACTGATACCAATTACCCTCATTCAGTGTCTCCTGCCTGTGATCAAACAGAGCGGAGATCCCCAAGGCAGCGTTCAGTTAAGTGTGGTTGTCCAAATTCCCTTTTTATTGTACACAATGGAGACTCCGTCAAGGTTAATAATGATAATAATAAAAAACTATTTTAACAGTCCAGATTTTGAAAATATTTCCATTGTGTAACAACATGCTGTGTGCTGCAGGTCTGGAGTTGGAAATGATTTCATTTGTACCTGGGTGAATGAGTCACAGATGCACTGTAGGTGAGACACAAACCTACCATCTAGTTTTACTGTGTGCCACATTTTGTCTTAGTGTTAGCCCTTAAGTTATACCATCTGAAACAGTGAGATTTTTGTTTTTAAAGAAATAGTTAAACATTTTGGAAAATATGCTTATTTGATTTTTGTCTGAGTGGAGATGAGATATTTAACATCATTTTTATGTCTGTGCATTAAATATGAAGCTGGTGTCAGGATATGTTTAGCTAGCCTCTCTGCCCATACCTCTGATTTGGTCATCGGCATCAGACACTGACGAGAAAAGCCTGTCCTTTCACATTGGCATGATATGCTGCCATTTGTTGTCATTGTTTAACAGTGCACGGCAGCATCAGGGGGAGACGCAGTGTGACAAGAATTAAGGTGACAAAAGTCTGAGTATGGCAGATAGAAGGGGTGGTGGATCGGCCCAACAACCACCGACCTTTACCTGGTAGGCTGGTGTTCGCTTCCCATAAGATAATAAAGCCAAACCCTGTTCTTTTTTCCTAAACCCAACCACATGTAGCTATGTTGGCTAAATATAACCATATGTGTTTATTGAAAGAAAAAAAAGGCCATTTTGCAGTGTTGTACCAATGTATTGCATTTACAGAGCCTGCATGCAAACTGTACATTTCCTGTGAAAACTGGAGAATATTTAAAAAAAACAAACAATGCATATAACAGACTGAAGTTGACGCCGCATCCTAGAACATCAAAAACCAGCACACCCAGGGTACTTTGCATGTCATATTTATACGTGGAAAGACCACGACCACACGTTAATATGTGATGAGGTTGGAGTGAGACTGTGTTGGAAAAGGAAAAAGAGAGTCACAGGCCTGAAGGGTGGAGTTATATAATCTTGGGGGGAATGGTCTAGTCAGGAGTGACAGTTTGTAGTACATTTGCATGATTCTTTTTTATGTATTCCATAGACCTGGAAGTGTTGCTGTTGCATATTTTTTTCTCTTCACAATGATTTGTAAATATGTGAAGCAAAAGAATCTGCTTTGGATTAAACTCACTGTGCACAACAGCCACAATCATAAATCATACAAAACGTGTCCCTATAATTTAATACCACCATGATTTAAAAGACATCACTGACAATAGGCAAAATGGTATCTGTGTTTGTATTTGGCAGGCTGAAGCCTCCATATAAAGTGATTGCTCCCCCTGCAGTCAGCCACTTGCTCTTTGAACAATATTCTCTCATGTTTTCGCCATTCCGCGAACACACACACACACACACACACACACACACACACACACACACACACAAACAACGTTTCTCTGCAGGATGGCTCCAAATGTGGCCTTTTTTACTGCTCAGTGATTCAAAACATTGCTGGATCTTAGATGATAATCGTCACTGAAACAAGGCTTTATTGTGCTGATTGAAACCAAGCTCCTGTAAGGCCTGAGGGGCCGCTGGTCCTTGTTTGGTTTAGATGCCTCACAGAAACAAAGAAACACCTCACACTGAGTAGATGAAATGCATGTGAAATGATTTGGTTGTCATTATGAATCTATAAATCTTGTGAATAAAAACCTTCAGTACTGCTGTTTCAGATTTTGCAGATGTTGTGCAGACTCCTTGAATGAACTCAGACAAGCCTTGCTTCATTTTAAACTGTTGAGCTATAAATACAACCAAAGTGAGAATAAACCACTGACGATTTGCACCATGAAGTACTGAAGAATTATTGGAATAATGCAGAGCAAAGTCAACTAATGTTTCATTCTTGATTTAATTTAATGTTTTTTGACTGTTAAGTTATGAAATGCTGCACTAAGGTAAACCAGTAAGAGGTAACTTATTGAGGGATTTCTTAAATGTGGTTTAAAAAGCTGATTTAATATTATATCCAAGCTGAAACTTCTCACTTTTAACAACAATTCTGTGTTTTCCTGTTATTATGTATATCTTTATACAGTATGAAGATATCCAATAGAAGTAGGCAAGCTAGCAAGGCTAACAAAAAGTGGTGTCTGATGTCTCCCTATTGGTGTGGTGGCTGCAGTTTAAACAGCAGGTCACATGATGCACCAGAGCTAGGTAGTAATAATTTCCCCCAATACTGTATACTGATGATAAAAACAACTTTAATCATACTCTTAAATAAACTTAACAAATTGACATTAAAACACTAAAACTGTTGCTTCTAGTATTACAGTGTAGGTAGACATGTGGTTTGTCCAAGTGGTGTTGCCATACCTTAGCAGAAGCTGTTGCTCGACTGCTAAGAGTAGGTACAATCAATGTCAAACCCTGTAATATGTTTTTCAAACACTCCTCTACATCCTTAATGAAACTTCCCAAATGACCAAAACCCATGTGAACACTAGAAATAAATGAGAACACAATAGATACTCAATCATCCATAGCATTTCACTGTGTAATCCAAACATTGTTGTCAGTCTCAGCTGTTGGTTTGTAAATTCCGGCTGTAATGAAAGCCAGATGCTCATTTCTTCTTGCAGCTTTTCGACCAAACCTTCCCACAGGTCTGATCCCTCTGCTTGTATACCAGGAGGCATTGATGTCTACATCTGGACACCACAGATAATGGAGGGACATGGAATGAAGAGACAAACAGATTCCATTACATAAAAGTCTCAAAAACTGTCTTTATTATACCAGCCAACTATGGTAGTTCCAACTCAAACCAAAAAACTAACTTAACCCCAAAAACGTGATATAATAATACTCTATCCTTTGTAAGTACTATTAATAGTTAAAATTGCTATAATATTTGGCCCACTACTATTGTGGTGACGAAAAGCATACTAAGAATATGGGAAGAGGAGGAGTTAGGGGATCCCTCACCTCTGGTAATAAGTGAACCTGCTTGATGAGATCCACTCAGGGCTTGACTCAGCAGCAGCAAGACAGCACACAGTACCGCACACACCCTCATTGCAGCTCGACCTGGAGTGAAAAAACAAACATAAAATCAGTCACTTCTAAACCCAGAACACAGTGTTAAATATCAGTGTGGCGCTCATAATGAGGACCATCAGAGGTGATAAATGTAGGAAATATAATTACTGGATTGATCTGTGATCTCCACTGATAAAGTATATTATAAGAAAGCCTTACTTTTTCATCAGTTTCATTGAATTACCATCACAGACATCATCGTGTCAACAGTAGCAAATTACTGGAACATTTAAAGTAGCTTGTCATGTGCATTGTATCTACTTTGGATTGTTTTTCATGCACTCATTTTTAAGGAAGTTTTCCCTCTTAATCTCAGCAGACTGTTTGAATTGACTTTCTGGCTCCTCACAGGCATCTCTTCTGATACTAACAATATTTGATCTGATTTTGCATCTCACAGGAAAATTGAACAAATTTGAAGACTTACTGTTTGGAAGATTCCTTGTCGGATAGTTTGCTGAGCCAAACTTCACTGGCTGCCTGATGTAAAAACCACGGGAGCTGAATAGGTACAGGAATGAAGACTGAACCAGAGAAATCCTTCCCTTCTTCTAGGTGTGACAGGACAGCCTATTGTAAAACCCACTGACTGGACACAAGCAATTACTGTGGTGAGACTAAAAGACGAAAGACTGCGTTATAAGGTGGTTCCTCTGAGGTTCTGGTGTCATAATCTATCAGCTGTTCCATCATATCTTTATTCCAGCAGGAGGGGCAGCAATGTGTTGATATGCTGACGTCACCCACTCCTGAAGAACAATATGTGATACACAGTATTCCCTTATGGAGCTGCCCACTCTGTGTAGCCTATGACTTGGCTTACACTGGAAAAGGGACATTTTTTTATAACAGTAATTTCTGTTCTTCATTTCCCATAGTCATCCCAGTCAAACACTACCTGTCTGATAGAAATGCGCGGATGGCGTTTGAGCGCACCCAAATCCTCGTGCACTCATCAATCATCCACCCGCCACCCACCCGACGTAATTATCTTCTAAAATTTACAGACCCGCACCCAACCCGCGCCAAACATTAAGTTACATTTAAATTATGTCCAGCCGTTCGTGCTCATTCGCTTTTCAAAAAGGTGCATTTTCTTGACTTAACTTTTTGTCTGCCCAAAGATTTCAACCAGCAAAAAAATATTTTCATAGAGGCAAAAGTTTTCATAAACCTAAACTGTAGCTTATATCCTGGAACCAAACTCCTGGAGAGGGGCTGGACTCTCACCTGTTTTTGGAGATGCCAAGGATAAGAGGTGCCGGGTGGGTATGAGAGTACTTACAAACTCCTGGCTGAGCGTCACTGTGTTGGAGTTCTCCCTGGGTAACAAGATGGTCTCCTGCAACTGCAAATCCATGAGAAGAGGTCTTGCTTATGCGCCAAACAGCAGCTCAGAGCACCAGGCCTACTTGGAGTCTCTGGGTGGTGTCCTGGAAAGGGTACCGACTGAGGATACTATAGTTCTTCTGGGGGACGATAACGCTATGAGCAAACGATAGAGAAACCTGGAGAGTGATCACTAGGAGAAACAATCTGCCTGATCTGAACCCGAGTTGTATTTGATGATTGGACTTCTGTGCTAGTCATGGGTTAGCCATAATGAACACCATGTTTGAACAGAAGGTGCTTCATAGGTGTAATTGGTAACAGAACACCATGAGGCCCCTATTCATGAGGTCTTCAACTCCCATTTTTCATGCGTCCTCAGGGACATAGGGGACATGGAATAAGAGTGGGCCATGTTCAAAACCTCCATTGCTGAGGTGGCTGCTTAAGTTGTGCCTGTCATGGCAGCAACCTAACAACCTGCTAGTGGACACCTGAAGGAGGCCGTCAGGCTGAAGAAGGAGGCATTTTGGGTTTAGTTTGCTCAGAGCTCTCCTGACGCAGCAGATAAGTATCGATTGGCCAGAAGGGTGGCAACTTTACCAGTTGCCAAAGCCAAAACCTGGGTCTGGGAGGAGGTTGGAAGGGCTTTGGAGAAGGATTTTTGATTGGCCTCGAAGAAGTTCTGGCAAACTGAGCCATGCAATTATTGTATAAGAAGAGAGTAAGTGCCTCCAAGTCTGAGGCCATGGTTCTGCCCTGGAAAATGGTGGATTGCCCTGTCTTGGTTGGGAGAGAGTTCCTGCCCCTAGTATAGAGGTTTAAGTGTCTCTGGGTCTTGTTCATGAGTGGGGGTAAAATAGATTATGAGATGGACAGACGGTTTGGTGCAGCATCAACAGTGATGTGGGCATTTCACTATACTACCATGGCAAAGAGGGAGCTGAGCTGGAAGGAAAAGCTCTCAAATTACAGGTCCATCTATGTTCCAACCCCCTTACCGATGGCCATGAGCTTTGGGTAGTGACTGAAAGAATGAGATTGTGAATACAAGCGGTGGACATGGGGTTCCTCTGTAGGGTGGCTGGGCTCAGCCTTAGTGATAGGGTAAGAAGCTTGGACATCCAGAGGGAGATCGGAGTAGAGCTGCTGCTTTTTCATGTTGAAAGGGGCCAGTTGAGGTGGTTTGGGCAGCATATCAGGATGCCTCCTGTTGGGGGTTTGCCAGGCATATCCAACTGGTAGGAGGCCCTGTAGTCAACCCAGAAAATGCCGACTCTTCAGACCTGGCCCCAGAAGAGTAGGTGAGAATGGATGATTGATAGATATTTTGTGAGTCAGTTCATGTTATGGATATGAAAATGTTGTGCATGTCAATTTTAACATTTCTGTATTATAAATTAGCCTCTCTGGAATGTCCATTTCTTAAAATAATCTTGTTATGTTAAGCACCTTGAAAGCATCTGTCGAGTGCCCACTGGTGCGATCCTATACAAGGATCAAACAGGGATGTTCAGTCATGTAAAGGCATGACAACCAACAACTAAAATTAAAAATACATATAAATAAGAAGAAGACTCTGTACTGATCCCAGGCCAAGGAACCCCAACAGGCACGAATGAATGCTATTGGAAGCTGCCAAAACTTTGTCAACAACAAAAGCATGATTTGAAAGAGATATCTCAGTTCTGCTGCAGGAAGAGGCAACAATGGCAAACAAATGCATGAAAGAACTGTGGTAGAAAATGCTGTTTGATGTTACATTTGTGATCACAAGGTCATAACTACATTAGTTGTTAAAAAGAAAAAAAATGCCAGTGTCAGTTAAGTTTGTAAATAATTTAATTATACTAACGATACAAACGATGTAACTGCATAATTAGAATTACACATATAATGAAAGTGAGGCTTTAACTGAAAATAGAATAAGAGAGAGAATACAATGTTAAACATCTACAGATGGGTGACTAATCCCAGGAAATCCTGTGACTGCAAAGGCCATACGATTTATATCACTGTCATTTAGTGACTCTTTGTAACCTGCATGGAAGCTCCTGCATTTATGTGTTTCTCTGCTCTTCATTAATTTAGGTTTTTTCTTTAGTTTGTCATCCGTTTGTATGTGCAAACAGCTAATGGAAATCATTAAACCATCTTCAAATCAAAAATATGGCTATTCCTTTATCATTGACAACATAAACATTTATAAATGTGTAATGTGCACCAGTAACTTTCAAATAGTTCCTATTTAAATCAGTGGTGACAATAATAAAAAAAAAATATTTAAGCTTTTATGACATAAATATGAGAGAGAAGAAAAGATTACACAATTCAAAGTTGAACATAAATGCCATTTTGATATTGTGCTATAGTATTCGCAAGGAATGTGCATTGATGTCTATATTTATTTGATTCATATACATCACTATAACTTTAACTAGCCATTATGAAACTTGCTGTACTAACTATGATATCATTCAAATGATGCAGATAATTTAGCCTCACAACTATTTCTGAAGATATTAACAAAACATCACAAAATGTTTAAAATAAGAAAAGAAAAAGAAATGTAAAAGTATTTCAAACAGATTTGTAGTTTCTTATTGCACTGTATTCCGAATGGCTACAAATAGCATAATTCAACATGTTGCTTTAATCTGGAAACAATTTCATTTAGTTTTATGTTTTCATTTGTACTATGTGAATATTAGAATAAATACCTATGGACTTCAGATTACAACTGCAAATGCATATGCGTTTGCACATTAAAGGGAGAGTTCAGATTTTTTGAAGTGGTCTTGTATGGGGTACTTATCCATAGTCAGTATATTTTCAGTTAGCATATGCCCAGTTTGGAGAAGCAGACTGGAGTCCAACATGGAGGCTATGCAATGTACTGCTGTGGATGGGGGTCACCTTAACATCACCTTAAAAAAAGTCCCACCTCAAAAAATCATTATCCGTTTAGGTGTACGCTATATTGAGAATGTTTTTACTGCTTTACTTTTCTGTCAGACAGCCTGCTCTGATGGGGAAGCTGTCAACGGCTTCAGTTAAATACTTTCAAAGCCACCAGACTCTATCTAGAAAAACAGTATTTTTAGCTCGCTGAACTCGGGAGCTTCTGATCTACCACTGCCTGCATCAGTCATTTTGTCTTATTGTTTGACTTTGGCGAATCTGAACTAACCCCTCTAAACACCAAAGTCACACAATAGCACAAACTAGCTAACTGACTGAAACAGCAGTAGACCAGCAGCTCCTGTGTTCAGCAATGTTAAATGACTGTTTTGGCTGGCTTTGAAGACAGTGATATAATGGCCTCATATTCCCGTTACCGTCTGACATTAAAGTAGGGAAGATATTTTAAATATAGTGCACATTTAAACTGATATTGTTTTTATTAGGTGGGATTTTTTTAGGCGGCTAAAATATGTTTTGTTTCTGACTCCTCCACAGCAGTACATTGCTTAGCTTTCATGTCGGACTCCAGCCTGCTTCTCTAAACTGGGGGTGTCGACTGACATCTACTGTATGCAATATACTGTCAATAGATAAGTGACCTATACAACCCCACTTCAAAAAATCTGAACTTTCCCTTTAAGGTGAACGCATTAACTTGGATGTTAATGTATGCAAATCATAAGTGCAAACTAAGATTTATATCTAGCAAAGTTAGTGCATATCATGTATCACTCCAGCATATAATATCAATAGGGTATGGATCTATCCCAATAAAATAACACAGAAACATTTTAAATATAAATGTAAGCACTCCCATCCCAGCTGACAGTCTCTGAATCTCTTTCATTCCAATTGCAGTTTATGACAAACTGTAATAAATGTTGTCACCAGAAAAACTCGTCAGTCATATAATGCTCAGCCTCCTCCTCATGAGCCCTGCGTCATTACTGGTTTCTGCAAACAGACAGAGACAGACAGAAAAAGACAATGATTGGCTGTTTAATAATTAGGTAATCAGTGATGTCATGCTTTGATTGGGTTAATGATTTTCGTCAGCTGTGAAATCATTCATAGCAAGTGAGGCACAAACAAACACAACAGGAGCTAGAATAAGACTAGAATGTCTTTGTGAATCTGTTGATGACTTATAAGTCATTGTCTGAGATGTGACAGGTGTGAATGATTACTCAGGCTAAAGAAAACAAACTAACAGGAAATTGTCAACATATTTAAAGCACATTAAATCAACTCTATTCAGTATTTCTTCTTAAAATATATGTGTAGAGAGGATGATGAATACTAAACATAGTGATAATCAAAGAAAAATGAAAGCTCTCATTTAACAGAGAACTACTGTAAAGCTGTAGCTTTGCTCTCCATTGCTGAAGACTGGACCACAGCTTAGCACCAAGACAACAATGTTCTTGTTGCATTTGGCCAATAAAAGTTTAAGAATTGCAAAAAGTGCTTCAGTTAGAGTTGAGAGGATTTCTTTTTTAACACGATACACCTGAGACATATATTGCATGGCTGTCTTTCAAATCTATATCATTAACCGTAAATACTTTTCATAAATCTTGGCAGTCAAATCAGTGACGCCCATACAGACTGTGGGATGCAAGCACATGTGTTTTAAATTCTCATAAGCTAAAAGCACGTACACAGGCTATTTAAGGTAACAGTATACAGCCATATAGTTTTCATATTCTTAATATGACAGCAATATACTATTGTTTTTTTCCTCAATCTAATTTAACATGTCATTTTTTCTTCATTCTTTTGGCAGGATTCATGCACTGCTTTATTTGAAGTCAGGCAAAACAAAACACTCAAGCTTGTTCACATGTTAATTATTTAAGAGCTTGTGTAAAAGTAAAAACATACATTTTCAATAATGCAAGAATTGCACAGAATTAGTATATTCAACTGAAACAGAAGAAGCAAAAAGAAAATAAAAGACAATTCTCTAAAACCTCTACAAAGCTTGATTGGAAATGAATAATCAGGCGATCCACAGATAGAAGATGGCAAAGCCCAGTGTAACCAGTAAATGAAGAGTTCGTTTCCAACAAAAGAACCATTTTTAAAAATAATTTTGAAGGAATGGTGTGACATTTTGGGAAATGCATTTATCTGCTTTCTTGCCAAG